ACGGAGGATGTACTCTAGCAGGTAAAGACGGAGGATGTACTCTAGCAGATAATGACAGAGGATGTACTCTAGCGGGTAATGACAGAGGGTGTACTCTAGCAAGTAAATACGGAGGATGTACTCTAGCAGGTAATGACGGAGGGTGTACTCTAGCAGGTAAATACAGAGAATGTACTCTTGCAGATAAATACAGAGGACGTACTCTAGCAGGTAAAGACAGAGGATGTACTCTAGCAGGTAAAGACAGAGGATGTACTCTAGCAGGTAATGACAGAGGGTGTACTCTAGCAGATAAAGATGGAGGGTGTACTCTAGCAGGTAAAGACGGAGGATGTACTCTAGCAGGTAAAAACAGAGGATGTACTCTAACAAGTAAATACAAGGGATGTATTCTAGCAGGTAAAGATGGAGGGTGTATTCTAGCAGGTAAAGACAGAGGATGTACTCTAGCAGGTAAAGACGGAGGATGTACTCTAGCAGGTAAAGACAGAGGATGTACTCTAGCAGGTAATGACGGAGGGTGTACTCTAGCAGGTAAAGACGGAGGACGTACTCTAGCAGGTAAAGATGGAGGATGTACGCTAGCAGGTAAAGATGGAGGGTGTACTCTAGCAGGTAAAGACGGAAGATGTATTCTAGCAGGTAAATACAGAGGATGTACTCTAGCAGGTAAAGAAGGAGGGTGAACTCTAGGAGGTAAAGATGGAGGATGCACTCTAGCAGGTAAATACAGAGGATGTACTCTAGCAGCTATCTCCACGCTGTCAGCTCAAAGAAAGACGTGTCCTTGGGCTTGGCTGGATTCGTGAAGTCTCCAATCGATCAGGGACACCTAAAGGCGTCTGTGGAAAAGTTTAAAGTTGGATGCTGCTCACCAAAGAACACCACATAAAGGTGATTTTAAGGAAGTCATTTTCAAGCTGTATTCGCTGATACACGCTTTTAATGTCAAGGATATTAATGTTTAACTTATTCATTTTAACTGAAGAAACGGGCAGAAAATGGCCTCAGACTCAACGGGAGTTCAGACCAGGCAGGAAACCACGGCTTCCCCATTGGAGGAGCTGCCATATTTCCATTTCGTCCCGGTTTGTTTGCAAGCTCTCGGACGACATTTCTTCCTCCCTGCATGTGTACCGCCATCAGAGCAGCCAGCCGAGTCCTCACCGCGAAGACTGTCGGGTCCTGGCTAGTCATCAAAGGGATCTTACGTCGATAATCAGCATTCTGTGGCCTGCGCTTTCACGTGGGTCCGTCAAAAGAGATCCCAAGAAGCCCGGGGGAGAAGTTAAAGCTTCAGTCTCGGCAGCCTGCTCATACACAAACTCTGTGTAGGCAGTACTTAGGTTCTCAGTCCAGCGTCACCTCCACACACACAGAGCACCGACGGCCATGGAGCCAATGCTGCCACACAGCAGCCTCGAGGTGGAAGTAGACCCGCCTCTGTGGGTTCCAAGTCCTGACATCTTTACAGGAGCAGACAGCCTCGTCTTTCTCCCTCAGAGCGACTTGGGGGTCAGAACCACTGACCTTGCTCTTAGCAACCCAGTACCAAGAACTCGCTCTTGGTGGCCATGTCTAGTCAGTCCTCATTATTTGCAGATTCCATATTTGCAAAAATGACTACTGGCTAAATTTCTTTGTAACCCCCAAATCAATACTCATATTTCATGGTCATTCAAGGGCAGGGACCCAGTGGTCAAAAATTCATCTTGACTGATGCACAAGGCTCCTCGGTATGCACTAATTCAAAGTTCACTGGCCTTGTATAGAACACACTGCTGAAATTCACAAGAATCCACTGTGCGGTGGCTTTAGACAGCCACGGACAAGCTCTGGCTGCCTGCAGGGGAGAAGGAAGGAGGGGTTCCTGGTTCCAGTATATAGCTAATGCTTAATAACTAGAAACTCTTTATGCAGAAAATAATTTTATATCGTCAATATTTATGCAGTAAGTATACAGTTAAGTATTTATACAGTCCATAGTTTAATAGTTAATATGATTCTATCCAAAGGATACTTTTAGCATTCTGAAGCTCCAGGTCCATAAGCAAGTCAAATGTGTAAAAATGTGTGTGTGTGTGTGTGTGTGTGTGTGTGTGTGTGTGTGTGACTGACTAGCTGACCGTGTGTGTGTGTGAGACTGACTAGCTGACTGTGTGTGTGTGTGTGACTGACTAGCTGACCACTGACCACAAGGATAGTAACTGTGAAGGCCTGTGGACCTGCAGTGAGGACACTGAGACAGTAAACTGGAGCCCACGGCTCGGCTGGCTTGCAGGTAGAAGGCGGGGAGGCTAGCTTCTGGACTAGGATGTGCTGCATCAGTGCTTTCTCCAGGGGCGGCCCCAGCCCCAGCCCCAGCCCCACTCCTGGAGCAGAGTCCCCCTCCCTTGCATCTGGCCTGCAGGGAGGGTCTGAACTAAAGAGAGAGAGAGAAGTGGCATGTCTCTGGTTTTCACCGAGCAGGGGTGCCCTCAGGCCCTGACTAAGAAGAGGCCTGTGTACAGACGTGGAATCACACCCACGGGGGCTATAGCAAAGGTTGAGTAGCTTGATTCTCAAGCAGTCCTCCTCGATACAGAGAAGGCTGGTGCCAATGAGGACTGTGAAGGCTGCTCCTAGGGTTCGGCGAGTCTGCTCCCACAACCGACAATCCCTGCTCACGTACATACATCGAAGCTTGTCTACCCAGAAGCAAAGAAAACCCCATCCGAGGAAACTGTACCAGCCAAAGGTATGTACTTAGTGGCATCCACGTAAAATAGTGCATTGTGTTTCAAAATGCCAATGCTTGGAAACTCAGGAAACAGGTCAAGAAAACAGCCCGGCCATTCATTTTACCCTCAGAGAGGTTGTCTGAAGAGCAGGCATGAGCACTGACTGACTGACTGACAAAGAAGTAAGTGGTCTGCCTTAGGTCGCCGGCCACAAACAGCCGAGGAGGCTGGTCCACCAGGGAGCCTGGCTTAGGAGAAGCCACAGCCTGGGCACTAGGCGATCTGCAGCGATGCGCTCTGTTCCCGGAGGCAGCGTGAAGACCACTTACGCACAGCAAAGGCTTCCTGCCTGGGGCTCTTCCTCAGCCCCTTCTATTCCTTTCTTACGCCCACTAGCTCGGGCCACTGCCTCCCATGCCTTTTTCAGACCGCACTTGTTTGAGTGGTGAGTGGGTCCCTTCTGCCCACCCCCACCCCAGACTCTAACTCTACCCTGCCCTCCAGCCAGCACTGCTGGGCCATGAGCCCCCGACAGCTTTCACCACGCTGGCAATTTCTGTGGGAGGACTATAGGAGCGAGTGGGTGCTCCGGAAGTCAAAAGTCAACCAGGGCTTGTTAATAGCAATGAATTACAAATGGGATGTCAAAAGCAACCAACTGAGAATGTTTCTTCACCAAAGCGCACACACTACTGGGGGGTCTTTAGTTCTGCCATGCCCAAGGTCACGGCCCCTGATGGCCACCACCGTCTTCTCTCTGCAGCTCTGCACTTGCAGGAACCCGACTTTGCCGCAGGAGGCGCCTAGAAAAGGAGAGGACTCACGGGCGGAGGCTTCTTCCTCATCTCAAAGGTGCGTGTGGCGCCAAAGCTGAGCGAGGCAATGACGGGGCACGTCCCGAGGGAGGGCTCGTCGTCACTGTGCCAGTCCACGCTGTCCTTCTCGTTGCGGTACAGGTTGCAGAGGAGCGAGTTGAAGGAGTGGCCAGTGTTCTCTTCGATGCGGTTCTTCAGGGTGCTCAGCACTGGGTGCCACTGTAATCAGTTGGCGCAAGGATGGTGGCACAAAGTGACAGCCATGTGGAAAACCAGAAATAAAGGCCACGATCAGTCACGTTATACACGGAGACCCGGAACAAGCAAACCATTTGGGACGCACAAGACCGGGGGCAAGAACAGCAGCTTAATCCCCTCCCGTGGTTTGTTTTGAAGGAAGGCGACTACGGCCATCTTATAAGGGGATTAAATTGGACATAGGAACGCCAGGAGGAGCAGGGCCCGTCTACCTGTGTCGTCTTGTTTGGCAGAACAGCAACTGTTAATCTGTGCAGGGCAGTCCCCTGGCAGGAAGTGGAGCACCAAGTCTGGGTGTCGCCCCCCCCCCCCCCCCCCCCCCCCCCCCCCCCCCCCACCTGCTGACATGTCACCAGGCAGCCAGCAGCCTGGCTGAAGGAGGAAGAGACCAACAGCTTCCTTGCTGGGTGGCTCTATTTGGCACAAATGGCAGAACTGCTTTGTATTGCGTATTTCCAGAGCGGCTAACTTCCTAGGAACAGACTGGAGGGGAAACAAACGCTTTTCTACAGACTGGACATCAGGCTATGGTCCAGGTAAGCATAGGCACTGTGAGTTAGACGCTCCATTGAGCTTTCACTACCTTTCCTACCTGGCCCTGAGTGCCCCTGTGCAGGTCATAATTGGAACCTGTAGAAACTTGCAGTCTTGCCACGCATACTACAGTTGTTTTTAGGAGTATGAATCGCTTTTAGTAGTATGAATCTGAGAACTCTTGTCTTCCAGGAAGCCCTTTGATGCAAAGCACTTGAGATTTCTGGGAGGGGAAACACCAACTTCTAGCAAGACCCATGCAAGCTCAGCTGTGACTGTGGCTACCAAGCAGCCCTGAGGTCAAGGGCCAAAGCCACCTGTAGTATGCGTTGGGTTTAGACTTGTAGCTATTTGATATTTACTGTATTTAAAAATACAACATAAAAGCGGCAAACCATCGATTACCGCGTTTTAAACAACAATGATAAGCCCGCTGCATGTCAGCATAAACACTGTTTTTATGAATAATCATAATCAAGGCCCGGCCTTGCACAACTCTTTCAGGCCTGCCCTAAGAGAGCCGATGGTTCCCTCTTCTTCGGCACCCAATCTGCTGCAATATGCTGTTTTCGGTGAAGTATATAAGAAGAATTGGCTGCATATGGGGCATGTAGCTAGAAAAGGGTGAAGTATTTGACAGCCTTTCAAATAGCTGTAGATAAGACACTCACTCCTCACTTCTCAGCATGGTTAAGTTCTAAAGACCAGGTGGCTCTGCAAAGTGTTGTTACATGGAATTGAGGATGACTACATCCTTACATACATGCCAAATGACACTACTCCCTAACGGTCATGACCAGCCAGGCCTGACACCACCTTAAAAACCCAAACTAGCATTACTCTCAGTGCACACCTCCATGCTCGCTGCTGCCATTATTCAAGACTCATCCATGTGCAGAGTATGCGGGAGTGGGTTTTCACCATTACCATAAATGCAAAATGTCAGCTAAGAGTCAATGAGGGAGATATAAGTGTACATCCAAGCTGCTTTCTTAATAGTCAGCTGCCAGGTGTTACCTGAACCCCTATCAATAAACTTTTGATATTGTTATGTTTATATCCACGCATCTAGGGTGCTCTTTGAATGGCTCTCTTTACCTGGTGTGATTTTGTGACACTGCACATTGGTTATTTGGCTCCCTGAGTTACACAGGTCTCTCTCCTAAGGAATGACACATTTCAATATCCAATCACAAAAATTCACCTACTGTTACTCTCCTCAGAAAAGACTTAACAGTCTCAAAGCAGAGGATCACGCTTTCCAACACTCTAAGTGTTGCTGGAAATCTCAAATTTTATCACCAGTAGTGAATTCTGTCCACTCTTTCCCTCGAAACAAAGTCTGCTTCCTCTGTAAAAATATTTCTGCCAAATACTCGTCTATATAACCAGGTCGTTGTCAGGTATTCGTTCAAGCAAACACTGTCCTTGAAAAGAGTAGCTTGTTCAGTGCACAGCTCCAACAACCACCCAGGGGCGTTTCCTCCCACCAAATCAACTCCAACAAGAAGTCCGAAGATGGATGTGAGCAAGCTTATTTTATGGACTTAACCTGACTCTGGATGAGCCATTCTGACGTGCTCAGGGAGGCAAGGGCATTGCGATCACACCATGTTTGCACTCTGTGTTAAGTGGGGATGTATTTTCTCTTGGTTATTTTTGGTGATGCAGTGGAGAGAGGAGAAAAACGGGAATAATGAACTAGGGAACTAAATTTAGACTCTGTAACCGAGCACTCTGTGCACAGCCCGCAGAACTGAGGCCTGCATTAAAATCCACTACCATCTCACTGTTCATCCTTAACAGACACCCTACAACGGAGGAGGAGAAAATGTGAATCACACAAATGAAAAGATGTGTATGGTGGGTTTCGCATGATGTTTGGTCAAGTCCTAGGTTATCAAAGAGGTGCCTCTGGAAGTGCTGAAACCCTGGTGGGGAAATGAGTATGACAGAGGGACAGGAGGAAAATCAAGGGAAACAGAGAAAAGAGCTGGGAAGCAAAGGGCATTTATAGAGGTCTAGATAAAGACATGTACATATGCAAATATATTTATATGAGGATGAGGAAATAGAACTATGTGCCTATATCTATAGGTTTAGTACTAAGGTAACAGAAGGACATTAGGCCTCCACTCAAGTACTCCCTCAATGCAAGAATACTTTCTTCTATTAAATTGGCATTCTATGATGCTCA